CCTTCCTTCCTTCCTTCCTTCCTTCCTTCCTTCCTTCCTTCCTTCCTCAGTCTCTCTCCCTCCTTCCATCCCTCCCTCCCTTCTTTCTTCTCTCATAAATGCAGGCATGTACATATAAAAGCATATAATATTACAATAAGATAAACACTGACATACTAAAAACGTAAAGTGAAAAAGAATGAAGGTGCAACGTTAGCATTCTCATACTTGAATTCTCAATTCAAAAGTCCTTGGCAGCAAATCTGGAAAAGTCCAGCTATAATGTTAACTATAAGGAGAAAATGTTCTTATTAAAACATGCCATGTTTTGTATATTTAGCCACAGATCTCATCACCAGTTAGACATCTCCAACTATACTGTTTCTTCAGATTTACAGCTAATTTAAGAGCCATTTATTTTAATGGATGTATGATAAACGTTACCAAGTTTGGATCCAGTCTGTTTTCTATGAATTACCACTTCATTTTCACCTTTTCTCTCCCAGTGTACTAAATCAGCTGGGAAAGGATGAATGTTATGTTATGAAGCACACCATCATGTTAACTGAATTGTTAACTGCCGTATGCCCTCATCCCCTCTAGGGTAGAATGCTACAATGTGCTATGCCGAGGGCTGCTCTTGAAGACTATCAGGAAGCTGCAGCAAACCCAGCAGCCCTCTTATCAATGGGTGAGGGCCACCATAATCATATACCATCGGTGTTGCCTACTACTACTAACCAGCTATTGTCTCGGCAGCCCTTAATAGCTTATGCCTGAATACATTCAGGATTATCTCATAAAAATCTACCAGCCAGTTAGAATGTCGATTACCTCATCTCCAATGAAGTCTGTAGAAGGTAGTTAGGAGAATGGATGATGATGGTTCCACCCCTTTGAAATTCCTTACCCACTCTTCTGTCATTTAGGAAGGTGGGAAAGACTAAGCTTCCTTCTAGAGCTTTTAATTCTAAGATTGCTGCTATCACTGGATGCTGGGAGGGAAGACTGTTTTACTTACAATTGCTCTTTCATTGTTGGTAATATTGTTCTTAATGTAATCTTTTAAAAGGACTGGAGGCTTATGGAGGGTGGCGGTCTATAACAATGGCATTTAAATTAAATTAAGGGCAGGATATGATCTTTTTGAATTCCTGTGTAACAAAAGTTCCTTGGAACATTAGGGGTTAAAGGTAAAAAATCTTATAGCATATATTTTAGAAAACTTTCTGGATTAAAATCCATTATGACGTATTTAGTTATATAAATGAAATTAAGTGTGTTTCCATTGTATTGTAACATGATGTATTTAAAAACGGGGATTACGTTTGTTTGCCTAACTGTTTCCAAGTTTGTTTTTTGTTTCTCTCTCTGTTATTATAAGGTTCTTTGTAAGTTTAATTCAGCAAACCTCTTCAGGTGTGTGTATAAACATTTTAGTAAATTAAATCCCTTCCCCCCCTTAAATTAGTATTTTGTAGTTTCACTCCTCTCCTATTTCCTTTTTCCTGTTGTGTGGTGGAAAAATATTGCGGACTGCCAGACCACAATATAAATATTTACATTGAAATTGCTGTTTGTATCATTTTCAAATCATATTCCTTAAAATGAGATGAGTTGACAACTTTCTTAAGAAATTGAGCAAATCATTTCAAGAAAAGTAATTGTCTAGCAGAGATATGTCAAAAGCATTAAGTCTGGGATTTAAAAAAAAGGTTTTTGAATAAACATTCAAGGTCTGAACCTTCTGTTTTATTAAATAGCATTAAATAAATAATTGTGTATATAGATTAAACATTATTTTATAGCATTGCTCTGGATCAACGGCATTTCAGAATTTCCTCTATATATGTCTGTTTCAGTGACATTCCAAGGATTCCTGAAACTTCTCATCCTCCACTAGAGTCTAGTGAGTATTGACTTTATTCCAGCTGCTGAGATTGAACAGTGTTGATTCATAAGATGCCATTCAGCATTACTTAGTTTATCAGCATAGTCTTCCCTTCACCCTCAATGATTTTTAATACTTTGCGATGTAATATATATTTTATTCATACCAAAGGATAGTCTGCAGAATTCATGCTAAAATACACGGGACAATAAATAGCTGTAGTATGTATTGCCAGGGAAACCATTTGCAATATCTGACACATGATAGAAATACAAGCTGGTCAGCAGCAGTCATATCACGAGATTGTGATATGCTTTCCTTTTGAACTTCAAAAGTTACCAAAAGTTACCAAAATATGCTGATTGACCATACAAATTGACTTTAACTATTTACTTTGATCTCTTTCTCCCCAGCCTAAAGTAGAGAATTGGCTTTTCCCCCCCTTCCCTTTCTCACTTTGCATAAACCAGAGTTTTCTGAACTAGAGGTTTGGTCTAATGTTGGTCTTTAAACTCAGGAAAGAAGACATTCTGGCTGAATACAAGTAGTCCTTGATTTATGAATGTGATAGAGCCTGGGAATTACTGTACATTTGCAACCTGAGGAATTTGTTAATGGGATCACGTTAATTGAATGTGATCTCTCCCTGATTTACCCAATGCATTCACTAATTGAAGTTCAAGTCGTTAAGTGCACATGAGATACCTCAGGATGGGGAAACCATGAAGAGCCTAGTGCTTCTGACCACCCAAGCCCCCTGGCCCATTGAGATATCTCATGCTTCCGACCCACCCCAATTCTGCCCCACCAGGTCTTCACTGGCACTTATCTTTTGAACATCTCAATGGTCAACCAAGCTGTGTTCTCTCAGCCTCTCTGCCTCGGTTTCTTTGTCTGGATCCCTGCAGGCTCCGGTCATCTTTGCAAAAAGCTTTTGGCACGAAGAACAGAGGCTGTGATGGGCATGTGCATTGCTTCTGGCTTCTGTTCTTCATGTCAAAAGCCTTGAGGAAAAGCAGCCAAACCCTGCAGGGGCGAGTGATTACATCCTGGCCGGCTCTGGTCATCTTTGCAAAAAGCTTTTGGTGCACGCCCCTCCTGGCCTCTGTTCTTCGCGCCAAAAGCTTTTTGCAAAGACAATCGGAGCCTGCCAGGACGCAGTCAAAGAAACTCTGGCAGAGAGGCTGGAAAGGACACAGCTTTGCAAGGTCTTTGCAAGGTAAGTGAGTCTCCACAGGCCCAGTTCCTATGGAGATCCAGTGGCGGGGAGGGGAGGGATTGGCAGAACGAATGTTTCGATGCCTCTGCAGTTGTTTGTAAGGGTGAATAACTGCTGTGGTGCTGCAACATTTGTAACTTTGGAACTGTGTCATACTGGGGGGAGGGGAGAATGATGTCATAACTTTGAATGATCGCTAAGTGAACTGTCATAACTCAATTATCTGTATAAGCTAAATTGTTTGTAGGAAAACAAATGCATAATTTTTAGAAGAATGCAGAGTGAATTCTCAACTTTAATACTTATCCCTTCCTTTTCTTCCTTTCACAACTCTAGTGGCACAATTATCCACTATAGTACAACTGAGAAATAATTCCAGGAAAAAATACGCATATTTTTTTTCTGAGACTTTTTTTAAAAAAAGAAACTACTTATCACTCCTTACCTTTTTCAAAAGAAAAAGATTTTGCAAGAACAATCATTTCTCTGTTCTTTTCTTTTAAAATCTACTATATCAAGGCTTTCCACATCTTCTAGCAAATATATCTCCTCATGTATAGGCTACAATAAATGCAAAATATCATACTAGAAGAAGTACATTTGATTTTTCCTTGATTAATAAGTTTCAAAAGCATTCCTTGCTCAAAAGCTATATTGTGTTTACAGGTATTTAAAACTTAATGTTTTGTGGAAAATATAACATATTTTTGGCATTGCTGAGAATTTAAGCATTTTTATTTCATTTATTTTATTTCATTTTTCTTTATCTATTTTTCTTTTTTTCTTTCTACCATTTCTTTTGCAGATAGGAAAGGCCTAATTATTATTATTATTTTGGATAGTGCTATCTTTTTAACTCAGTCAGACCTCCTTCACTTTTAAGATGATATATTTCAAATTCTTTATCACTATTCTATTTTCTTCCTTCTCTTTCCAGGTTCTAGCTCATTTGAATCTCAGAAAATGGAACGGCCTTCAATTTCTATTATTTCCCCGACTAGTCCTGGAGCTTTAAAAGATGCACCACAAGTCCTACCTGGGCAGCTGTCAGTAAGTGTAGAATGATGGTACTAGAAAACACATTTTGTGTGCTTGCATACTTCTTGCAATATTTATATTTGCATTGTTTAATGTACGTTTACTGTTCAGGATCTTGCATTTTAACTAAACATATGTATGCTTACAGCACAGCATTAAAAACAACTGATTGATTGTGTGCCATCACTCATTTTCAACTCCTAAGTGCCATATAGGTAGATTTTCTCCATAATAATCTATTCCTCAGAGAACATTTTGGAATGTACTTACAAAACTGGACCAATCCTGTGTTATGAGAAAGAGTTTTTAAAAATGAAGTTCAAACTCGATGCTGCTATAAGAGTGGTTACTTTTTATATTAGCCACTCACTAGCCACTAACCCCACTTTTATTCATATATGCATCCATAGAAATGTGAACACACACACATGCAAAAATATACACATACACACATAATTCTATAGAGTGATATTCAATTGCTTTGTTATTCCCTAGAAGTTGTTTTGGAATGGCAGTATGCTGTTGTACGGAAGATTGAATTTTTGGGGATGGGGCAGGGGTGGGATTCTACCAGTTTGGACCAGTTCGGGCGAATCAGATGTTAAAGTTACATCCGGTTCACCAAACCGGTATTGCAACCGACCAGCTGGCCCCACCCACCCCTCCCCTCCCAGGAGTTTCCACGTGATGCAGGTAAGTGCAGGGTCCGCATGGAGGCTCTGGGAGGGGGAAATATGCACCTTCCAGAAGTCCAGAAATGGGCCTGTTTCCGGCTTCTGGTGGGCCTCCAGAGCCCGTGGAAAACTGTTTTCACTCTCCCAGAGGCCCAAGAGAGGCCTCTGGACCCTTGGGAAGGCAAAAACGGCCTCCCCTGGGCTCTGGAGGCCCACTGGAAGCCAGAAACAGGAAGTTCTGGTAGGCCACACCCACCATGGACATGCCCATCCAGCAACCTGGCAGGAACCAGTTGCTGGGTTTTTTGAATCCCATCCCTGGGATGGGGAATAGGAATTATGTACGTAAAATGGAAGCTGAAGTGAAAGATGGCAAAAACAGTAAACTCAGACCCATCTTGTAATTTTCCTACTTGTTACAATGACTGAAGTAAACTCTCAACTTTTAAAAACTATGGCATAGCTGACTGTATACATTGACTTAATAGATTGGGCTGCTGGGTACATGGTACCATGCACATTCCGATATTAATTCCTGCCTTTAGTTGTCTTCATATAGAATCTAAGGAATAATCCTTTCTTCTTGTTGCCTGTCAAGAACCTACCTTTGGACTGGAAATCACATATAGATAATAGGCAAATTCATTTATAGATTTATCCTACATGAAGCTGTGTAATCCCATTTAAAAGTAATCTAAGAGACATTACAAGATCCCATTTTAGTGCATTTTGTAGTTTAATTATAGTTTGTATGGATAAACTTCCTCCATTTTTACTTTCCAGATTTCCTTTCAAATCAATTTCCATAGGTCAAGATTTTTTAGTTGAATGTAGCAGATCACGGACAGGGTTTAATGCAGAGAAGAATTGCTTGTATGTTTTCTATTATTTAATGAATGTATTGTTGCTTCCTTTATCAGTCTAATGTGGATAAAAATGAACCTCAATTGACATATTTTATTGATAATGTAGAGCTCTTTTAATATTTTAGGTTAAACTATGGTATGATAAAGTGGGGCATCAGTTAATAGTGAATGTTCTTCAAGCAACAGATCTGCCACCTAGATTAGATGGACGACCAAGAAACCCATATGTGAAAATGTACTTCCTTCCAGATAGAAGGTGAGACTTCAAATGAAAGACCACATAGTACAGATTGAAGCATCTCAGTTAAGCTCTATATTTGTGGAATTCATTTCAACTCCAATATTACTCTTCTTGGTGAGGTGCTAATGGCCAATTTTTAATTTTATTTTCTTTGATGCAAATCAGAATCTGTCTCTACAATAGCATCAAAGTTATTCAGGTGCAAAGAATGATGCATTATTTTATCATATCTTCTGTTCTAGAACAGTGTTTCTCAATCTTGGCAACTTCAAGCAAAAAATTCTGGGAGTGAACGTCCACACATTTTAATATTGACACTGTTCTAGAATATTCCATTTTTTCCATAACTTTATCAGTTCATTTTTTTCGATCCCAAATTTTTCCACAAGCAGAAGCCAGTTGTGTGCAATATTATTAGCATCAAATGTCAGCATCTACTTCATACTACTGTATTAGAAGTCTGCTAAATGGCGTGCAATAGAATATTCTGAAGGCCAGCACTAGCCACCAGTTATTTTCCTTGAACAATGTATTACTTACAACCTTTATGCCAAAAAGTAGCATATAGTCTGGCTAAGATTTTCTTATTATTTATGTATTTATATTGTTATATATTTACGTAAATTTATATTTATGTATTTACATTACTTGGGTGACCATTTTATGTGGTCGCCCAAGTAAGTTGTTTATAGTTGTTTAGATTTCCTTGTGTTTATAATATGTTAAAATATTTAATTTAATAAATAACTTATGGTGGATAATAACTGTCACAATGGTTTCATGCTGCCTGTCCCTTGGTCAGCCATTTCACTTATTTAGTTGTGAATCCAACCACAGCAATCTTTTAGAATGTTCAGCTCTGCAATGCTGCTGGGTTATTGAGTTTGAACAGCTAAACAGCTGAGTAGGGATCTTCCCCTTGCCTCTTTACAGAGGGAAATGACAACACTGGAATTGTGACTGTGAGCATAGTTCATCATGAAGCTTAAGACCTGAGATGGAAGTACATATCTGGATTTCTGATGATGATGATTTACAGTGACTTTTTATGTTACAGTGATAAGAGTAAAAGAAGGACAAAAACAGTAAAGAAAAGCTTAGAACCCAAATGGAACCAAACCTTTCTCTATTCACATGTGCACCGTAAGGATTTTAGAGAACGGATGTTAGAAATCACTGTTTGGGATCAGCCAAGAGTGCAAGAAGAAGAAAGTGACTTCCTCGGAGAGGTGAATGGGCATGTACCATCATTGCATTTTAAACGAGGAATAGAATCTTGAAGCAATTTATACCTATTGTTAAACAAAGATGAATTTTGCTGTGCTTTCTCATAGATTCTCATAGAGTTGGAGACTGCACTTTTAGATGATGATCCACATTGGTATAAGCTGCAGACCCATGATGAATCCTCACTACCTCTTCCTCAGCCATCACCTTTCATGCCAAGGAGACATGTCCATAGCGGAGAAAATTCCAGCAAAAAATTACAAAGTAGGTGCAGAATTCCCCTTTCATTTGGTAGAACTTTTTGACCAGTAATTATGATGTAAACATTTATAACAATTTAAGCAACTACATTCAGTAAAAAGTACAGGTTTCAAAGATCTGCATCAAGATTTAACTCATACTGTCTCAGTGTGTTCAGAACATCATAGCAAAGTAATCTTTTTAGGCTGAAAATCAGTTTTTTAAACTGAGTAGGCCTTACTGTTAAAGGGGCAAGCATAATATTGTGATTGTAATCATTGTGATTGTGTTTGCAAAGACCAGACCTAGCTATATTGCCATTATTCTGAAATCTGACAAAGCAAAAGGAATGCTTCCTACTTTCACTTTAGAAATCAAGAAAAGGCTGCTAGGAGTGCTTTGTTGCTGCCTGTATGTTCAGCAGCTTTTCTTTTGATGATTTGTCAGTAAGATTTTCAATACTGTCCAACTTCATTACCTCTGAACTTTTTTCATTAGGTCGTTTAGGCTCACAATTAACATAAGAATGGAAACTGTTGCGCAGCCATAATTTATGGACACTCATCAATCCCATAGTAACTAAAACATCAACCAATAGTTGCTTGTGCGGATCATTAGATTCACATGTTGCACCAAACCATAATGTGAATTGGTTTAGTTTGGTTTAATGTGATGTATGAACTTTGATGAGCCAGTTATGGTACAAAGGTTAAGAAAAAACTCAGGAGACTGAGTTGTAGTCCCACCTTAAGCATGAAAACCAGCTGGATGACTTTTGGCCAATCACTCTTTCTCAGCCTAACACACCTTGACAGGTTTGTTGTTGTGGGTAAAATAGGGGAAAGAAGTATTAGGTATGTTTGATATATAAGATAAGATATATAGTAATTAAGTAATGTGAAATCAGAGACACCAGGTACCTACATAATAATAAATGCTACAATCCAGTGAATCATTGTGCTGTCACAATATGCTTGGAACTATAGCCAGTACCAGAGATTAAAATGTGTTCTGATTCTGAGCCACTTTGCAATAGCTTTTTTTACAATTATTATTATCTCTCTTTTTTTAGTTTTGAATGCATCCCATTTATTTAACTCCCCCCAAATAATTTTTACTTACACTTATTTTAACCCTTTGCAAAAGTACCAAGTATACAGTTATTTGCCTTACTGTTGCACAGGATCTCAGCGAATCAGTGATAGTGACATCTCAGATAATGAGGTTGATGATGGTATTGGAGTAGTTCCTTCAGGTGCGTGGGTGAAGAGCATGGTCCTACATCCTTTGCTTCAACTTCCCTGTCCTTTTCCTCTTCCACGTTTGAATTTTCTAGATTTTTGAAAGAACTTGAGTTGGGAGGTCATGTTTTCCAGAAAGGTGCATGTTGTATTGTTCCATGGTGACACATTCTAAAATTTACACCAGTCTTTACTTGTTCCTGAATTAAAATTAATCTTTCATTCTGCTACATCTGCCATGAATGGTCAGGGGCAATAGTTTGTTACAATGTTAATATTTAATATTGATATAATATAATATAAACAACTAATAAACCTATTTGTACATAATGTAGGCATTTCATGGGTCAAGGATCTGTTTTGAAATAAAAGTTAATACAAAAATATATTCAAATATATAGCTTAAGTAATAAAAATCTCAATTGATTTGTTCTTATTTTCAGACCCAAAGGTGCACCATGGAATATATTGAAAATGCATGGCTGTATATAGTGCATGAAGCATGGCTACATATTTTATAACTCTTACAAACATTCATTAGTTTTCTTTATCTTAAATATATGTATAAAAGAAGATTTAAGCATAATTTTATAAAAAGATAAAATCAAAATTCTAGAAATACAATGTTCAACTTTATAGGAAATGCTGAAGATTTCCTGCAGCCAGTCACAGCCTGAATTGGAAAATATGTTCAAAGTTAAAAAAACAAAAACAACACATAACTTGACATTTCAACCAAGTATTTGAACCAGATAATTAACTGTAATAAACAGTTTGAAAGATTTCTTTAGTTATCCTTACTTTTCTCTATTTGAAATAATGACTAGCTAGTGTGGTTACCCAATGCTATTTTGGCTGGTATATATAGTATTACACATTATACAACAACATTGTCCAACAAGCAGTATATTACATAAGTTCATTCTGCCATATTTTTGGGAGGTGTTAATTGTGTTAAAGAACACAGTACTTTGGTAACTGAAAATCAAGAAGGATGTCATAATAATAATCTATTTTGGCATTTTTCTTGAACAATAGTTGAGCACTTCTCTAAATTAGCTTATTAATGAATAAGCTAATAATTTCAGTTATATTGATATAATTAAGCCATATGTTGTTACTTTTTGTCATACAGTACTGTCTTTATACTGTCTATGTGGCAGCATAGACTATTGAATAACAGCATATTACTGTAGTTTCCATTGTCTAATGTATATGTTTTAAAATCCTTGATAGTTTTATTTTGCAGATAAGGATAATTTTTAGCATAAATATAATTAAACAGGGAAAGTTATTTCATAATTTACATCATAAGCAATTATTTTATCCATATCACAAGTTGTCTTCCATTCACAAAGCAATCATACAGAATTTATGAGAGAAAGGTGTGGAATATATTCTGGTTGAGAAGGATTCCTATAAGCTCCCTTGTATTCTCCCTTAGAATCTGAGGTTCTTTAAGAACTACTACCGTGTTTCTCCAACAATACGCCCCCCCCCCCATAGGAAGACCCAGCATGTTTTCTAGGCATAAAATGAAATTAAGCCCCTCCCCCCAAATTTAGGCCTAGTTTAAAACATGCAAAATTGGGGGGGGGAGGCAGGGGGAACTTGCCATTAGGAGTGCCCCGCGGGCAGCTATGCCTCGCCACCAGCCACTCCTAACGGCCAATCATGGTGGAGCACAGACGGTTCCTTTACCCATCCCTTACCCGGGTCAGCAGGCGGGTGGCATTGGCATGGATATCCTGCAGCATTTCAGCCGCTTCTCGGGCCTCCATAGCTTCCACGGTTCCCACCAGTGCTGGCACCTCTCTCGCCAGCGCCATTTCCAACAACAGCATCTGAGTTGCTCCCACTTTTCCCCCGTCCCCGTAACAACAGGGGGAAAAAAAGATTTTGAGGTACCTGGGAGTGCTGCGCGCTGCGTTTTGGTTTAATCACCAGCGCCGTCTCCAATAACAGCAGCAGCAGCGGCAGGAACTGTCGAAGCGTTTCAGCCGCTTCTCGGGTGGGGGAGCCGCCTCCGTAACTTCCACGGTTCCCGCCGCTGCTGCCGCTGTTATTGGAGACGGCGCTGGCAAGAGAGGGACAGCTGCAGCTCGGCCTGGGTGCTTGGAATGCAGGAATGGGCTGCTGCACCGGGACTTTTCCAAACTTGCAGAGCTTGAGGCTGGAGCAGCAGCATAGACGATCGCTCGGCTCTTCTCACGCCCACCCAGCCACTCGGGATTAAACCAAAACGCAGCGCGCGGCGCTCCCAGGTACCTCAAAATCTTTTTTTTTTCCTGTTGTTATGGGGACGGGGGGAAAGCGGGAGCGACTCAGATGCTGTTGTTGGAATCAGCGTTGGTGCATGGGGGGGGGGGGAGAAATTAATTCACGTCCGAAAAGACGTCCTAGCCGTTTTTTCGGGGCTCAAAAAAATAAATAAAGCCCGGCCTTATTTTGTGAGAAACACGGTAATATTTAATTTATATACTTCAGCTAAAGAATTGCTTTACAGTACAGTTGCCTGCTGCTATTTACAGTGCAGTTTAGCCAACTGGCTTCAAAGCATTCATCCTAAGGACTTCATTTGTTATATCAAGCCTTTTCTTCTTATTGTTAGAAGAACTTGATTGTGAGTTGCTATCTTTTCACAATTTGAAATATTTTCTTTTTGAACTCCATTAGTTCATCATGCTTCCTGTGCATAAACAATTCTTCTTATAGGAGAACAAAATGTAAACTTTTCTTTCAACCACAAATCATATGTGTCTTTTGCTATTTCAGTGGAAAGCATCATTCATGTCTGCATTCATATTGTAAGCGCTGTAAATAATTTGCAATTTTGGTGGCATTTAGTTATAATTTTCTTTGTCTGTTGTTTTTATGTGCTAGGTCCAGCTAAGAGTAATTTGTGATAGCGGTAGCAAAAAAGTTTAATTCTGGCCAAAGGAAGTTCTACTGATTATTTCAATGTTGAGAAGTACTTTCTTAAGTGACTTTTATATCATATTCACATCAGCAGCTAACTTACCTGAAAATGAAACTGAAGCTTCAATCAGAGAACAATTACTCACAAAGTATTCTGTTGCTTATAATAATTTTGGCAATAGCATTGTTTCAGTGTTGCAGCCAAAGATATACAGATATCATCTGAAAATACTGAAGAGTTGAGAAACCAACCATCCTAGAAATTAATATCTAATTATTATTTAAATATTATATATGCTCTTTTTCATTTTTTCACCTTTGGGAATTTCTTAGTCTGCATGTAAATTCTTCTTTACCTATGTTTATGCTTTTCCCTCCTATATATATATTTAAGTATAATGCTATTTGTTAGACCTAGCTGCATGATATTTCAGGATTTTCACTGGTGAAACAACTACTTGAAAATCTTGTAATCAACAAGAGATGCTTTCTTGAAAAGACTAATTTGATTATGAATTCATTGCTATTTATGGCCCAAACTAAATTAATTTTGTTGCACTTTTACCAGTAGGCTATAGGTCTACCAGTAGAGAAAGTAAATTTGCAACATTAACTGTGCCAGAACAGCAAAGAACAACTCATCATCGTTCACGATCTGTATCTCCTCACCGTGGTGACGATCAGGGCAGGACCCGTTCTCGTTTACCAAATGTGCCATTACAGAGGTATGATTGAAAATGTAGCTGCTTTATCATTAACTCAAACAGTCTGTACAAAATGGAGTAATCTGGAACCCCACTATTTCTAGCACTTTTCCACTGAATTCATCTGGTTTTAAAAGTGGGCAACTGTGAGAGGGGCAGATTCTTGTGGTTATAGATATGTGAAGTTTATATTCTCTTTAGGCACTATGTGCTCCCTTTGTTACAAGGGCAGCTGCTCTGCAATGGTCAATTTGCCATAAAGAGAATTGTGTAGTTCTCTTAATGACATAACTAGGCAACTCTTCATGCACTGTTTCCTAAACAAGATTATCCTATCGATCGATTGATGCATTTTACTTTTTGATACCATCATGTTTTACACTGTCCATATGCCCTCCTGTCAAGGAAGAAATTTACATAGAGAGAGCTAGAGCTCTTGCCAAAAAGGTTAGTGCAGCAAGAAAATACCAGAAGAATTCAGTAATTTTGCGAAGGGAATTTTTTTCTCTCACCATCAAATCACTGAATTAAATATTAATTATGTGCTGTCTGGAAACTCTGGGACTGTTAGTCACAACACATCAGAAAAATAAGAGGCTACAAAAAGTTATTATAATGGACTGGATTATATGTATTTTACATTCCTAGATCAATATTTGCATCAAAGTTATCAGATTTAAGAATTTTACCCTTACATTTATATTAATTTATTTGTTCATTATTCTATAAACCAGGAGTTTAGATGAAATTCATCAAATGAGAAGATCACGTTCTCCAACTAGACACCATGATGCCTCCCGAAGCCCAGTTGACCGCAGACCCAGAGATATGGATAGCCAGTATTTATCAGATCAAGAAGGGTATGTTTTTTACCTTTATATTTCTATTAAAAGTACCAGTGCAGCTTTGAAAATACTTACTTTCTAAAATAGATGAAAAAAGTCCTCATATCTATAACAACAGCAACAACCAAGTATGTATTCAAATCTTAGGGCAACATTGAGAAATCCGTTTACCTCTTCTTCGTGGATCATTTCCAGCTTATTGAACTTACAGTCACTGTTTTTCCTGTCAATTTCTCAAACATTTTTATGCTGTTTTTCGGTACTTTGAGGGATTGCCACAGCTAGGAGAGGGTTGACTTATTCTCTGAAGTTCCTGAGGGTTGGACAAGAAGCAACAGGTGGAAGCTCATTAATGAGAGATCCAATTTGGAACTAAGGAGGAATTTCCTGACAGTGAGAACCATTAATTAATGGAACAACTTGCACCCTTACCCTATCCCTAACCCTGAATTGAACAGTGCTTTGTAAGAAATGTGTTAAGAACTCTCTAAACAGAATGTGGGGTGTCTGATGCTCTGATTTGTACATTAGCAGGATGATGGCTGTTGGATTTTACAAAAACAGCATTTCCTGGATAATCAGCAGCCATTTTGATAAACTGGGGGAGGACAGATTAAAAAATAGCAGTCTCAGCTTTGTGGCTTGTATGTGTACATCAGTAATTTTTTGTTAGAATTTGTAGGCTAAATGTGATATGTGATGGCACATTTGAAAATCTGACAACTATTATATCAAGGACACATCATATCTCCTCCTTTAATGGTTCCCTGGGGACAAGATGAGAAGAGTAACATTTATGTATAATTTTCTGTGTGGAATTTATGGAATAGCACTATTCTTTATTCTCATTTGCAGTACTTTGGTTTACATGTAAAATATTAAATTTCATAGCTTTACTACTAAGATTATTATAATGCTATTGGATAGCATGCCAGCTGGCAGTGGATTATATGTTAACACTTTTTGTCAATCTTATTATTCAATTTATGTTGCTGATAAGTTCTCCAAGTACATAATAGTATGGTGGCATATTGATCAGAGTTTTGCTACTTCAAAAACGTTTACATGCATCTGTCTGCTTAACATGGTCTTTAATAGATTTTTATAATATCATAGCTTCGTAAACATAAGCTTTATGTAACAAAATAATTATTTTATGGGGGATTTATTTTTATTTATCCAGGTTTTTTTAAAGAGATCTTATTAGCATGCATGCTATACCCAAGACCTATTATCTTTGTTACTGGCTCATGGTTTCCTCTAACTTATAGCTGCTTCTAATGAAGAAACAGTAGTCTGGGCCAGGCCAAAATTAATGTGTGCCTCCTCCTCCTCCTCCCCCCTTCTTCTTCTTCTTCTTCTTCTTCTCCTCCTCCTCCTCCTCCTCCTCCTCCTCCTCCTCCTCCTCCTCCTCCTCCTCCTCCTCCTCCTCCTCCTCCTCA